CAAGAGCTTGCCTGGTCCGAGAGCTTGCGTGGTCTAGGAGCTTGCCTGGTCCAAGAGCTTGCCTGGTCCAGGAGCGTGCCTGGTCTAGGAGCTTGCCAGGTCCAGGATCTTGCCTGGTCCAGGAGCGTGCCTGGTCCACGAGTTTGCCTGGTCCATGAGCTAGCCTGGTCCATGAGCTTGCCTGGTCTAGGAGCTTGCCTGGTCTAGGAGCCTGGTCCAGGAGCTTGCCTGGTCCAGGAGCTTGCCCGGTCCAGGAGCTTGCCTGGTCAAGGAGCGTGCCTGGTCCACGAGCCTACCTGGACCAAGAGCTTGCCTAGTCCAAGAGCGTGCGTGGTGCACGAGCGTGCGTGGTCCAGGAGCTTGCCCGGTCCAGGAGCTTGCCTGGTCCACGAGCTTGCCTGATCTAGGAGCGTGCTTGGTCCAGGATCTCGCCTGGTCCAGGAGCGTGCCTCGTCCACGAGTTTGCCTGGTCCGGGAGCTTGCCTGGTCCAGGAGCTTGCGTGGTCTAGGAGCTTGCCTGGTCTCGGAGCGTGCTTGGTCCAGGAGCTTGCCTGGTCCAGGAGCTTCCTAGTCCAAGAGCTTGCCTGGTCCAGGAGCGTGCCTGGTCCATGAGCCTGCTTGGTCCACGAGCGTGCCTGGTCCAGGAGCTTGCCCGGTCCAGGAGCGTGCCTGGTCCACGAGCTTGCTTGGTCCAGGAGCTTGCCTGGTCCATGAGCTTGCCTGGTCCAGGAGCTTGCCTGGTCCAGGAGCTTGCCTGGTCCAGGAGCTTGCCTGGTCCAGGAGCTTGCCTGGTCCAAGAGCTTGCTTGGTCCAGGAGCTTGCCTGGTCCAGGAGCTTGCCTTGTCCAGGAGCTTGCCTGGTCCACGAGCTTGCCTGGTCCTGGAGCTTGCCTGGTTCAAGAGCTTGCCTGGTCCAAGAGCTTGCCTGGTCCAAGAGCTTGCGTGGTTTAGGAGATTGCCTCGTCCACAAGCTTGCAAGGTCCAGGGGCGTGCCTGGTCCACGAGCTTGCCTAGTCCAGGAGCTTTCCTGGTCCAGGATCTTGCGTGGTTTAGGAGCTTGCCTGGTCCAGGAGCGTGCCTGGTCCAAGAGCTTGCCTGATCCTGGAGCTTGCCTGGTCCAGAAGCTTGCCTGGTCCAGGATCTTGCCTGGTCCAGGAGCGTGCCTGGCCCACGGGTTTGCCTGGTCCAGGAGCTTGCCTGGTCCAGGAGCTTGCCTTGTCTAGGAGCTTGCGTGGTCCAGGAGCGTGGCTTGTTCACGAGCTTGCCTGGTCCACGAGCTTGCCTCGTCCAAGAGTGTGCCTGGTCCACGAGCCTGCCTGGTCCAAGAACTTGCCTGGACCAAGAGCGTGCCTGGTCCACGAGCGTGCCTGGTCTAGGGGCTTGCCTGGTCCAGGAGCTTGTCTGGTCCAGGAGCTTGCCCGGTCCAGGCGCTTTCCTGGTCCAGTAGCTTGCCTGGTCTAGGAGCTTGCCTGGTCCAGGAGCGTGCCTGGTCCAGGAGCTTGCCTGGTCCAGGAGCTTGCTTGGTCCAGAAGCCTGCCTCGTCCAACAGCTTGCGTGGTCCAGGAGCTTGCCTAGTCCACGAGCTTGCTTGGTCAAGAAGCGTGCCAGATCAAAGAGCTTGCCTAGTCCAGGAGCGTGCCTGGTCCACGACCATGCCTGGTCCACGAGCTTGCGTGGTCGAGGAGCTTGCCTGATCCAGGAGCTTGCCTGGTCCAAGAGCTTGCCTGGTCCACGAGCCTGCCTGGTCCAAGAGCTTGTCTGGTCCAAGAGCTTGTATGGTCCAAGAGCTTGCGTGGTCCAGGAGCTTGCGAGGTCCAGGATCTTGCCCAGTCCAGGAGCGTGCCTTCTTCACGAGCCTGCCTAGTCCCGGAGCTTGCCTGGTGCAGGAGCTTGCCTAGTCTAGGAGCTTGCCTGGTCCAGAAGCTTGCCTGGTCCAGGAGCTTGCCTGGTCCATGAGCTTGCCTGGTCTAGGAGCTTGCGTGGTCTAGGAGCTTGCCTGGTCTAGGAGCTTGCCTAGTCCAGGAGCTTGCCTGGTCCAGTAGCTTGCCTGGTCCAGGAGCGTGCCTGGTCCACGAGCTTGATGGTGTAGGAGCTTGCCTTGTCCAGGAGCTTGCCTGGTCCAAGAGCTTGCCTGGTCCGAGAGCTTGCGTGGTCCAGGAGCTTGCCTCGTCCTGAAGCTTCCCTAGTGTAGGAGCGTGCCTGGTCTAGGAGCTTGCCTGGTCCAGGATCTTGCCTGGTCCAGGAGCGTGCCTGGTCCACGAGTTTGCCTCGTCCAAGAGCTAGCCTGGTCCAGGAGCTTGCCTGGTCTAGGAGCTTGCCTGGTCCTTGAGAGTGCCTGGTCTAGGAGCTTGCCTGGTCCAGGAGCTTGCCTCGTCCAGGAGCTTGCCTGGTCAAGGAGCGTGCCTCGTCCACGAGCCTGCCTGGACCAAGAGCTTGCCTATTCCAAGAGCCTGCGTGGTCCACGAGCATGTCTGGTCAAGGAGCTTGCCTGGTCCAGGAGCGTGCCTGGTCCACGAGCCTGCCTGGCCCAGGAGCTTGCCTGGTCAAGGAGCTTGCCTGGTCCAGGAGCTTGCCTGGTCCAGGAGCTTGCCTGGTCCAGGAGCTTGCATGTTCCAGGAGCTTGCCTGGTCCAGGAGCTTGCCTGGTCAAGGAGCTTGCCTTGTCAAGGAGCGTGCCTGGTTGAGGAGTGTGCCTGGTCCAGGAGCTTGCTTGGTCCACAAGCATGCCTGGTCCAAGAGCTTGCCTCGACAAGGAGCTTGCCTTGTCCAAGAGTTTGCCTCGTCCAGGAGCTTGCCTAGTCCCAGAGCTTGCCTCGTCCAGGAGCTTGCTTGTTCCAGAAGCCTGCCTGGTCCAAGAGCTTGCCTTGTCCAGGAGCGTGCCTGGTCCAAGAGCTTGCGTGGTCCGGGAGCTTACCAGGTCCAGGAGCTTGCCGAGTCCAGGAGCGTGCCTGGTCCATGAGCCTGCTTGGTCCAGGACCTTGCCTGGTCCACGAGCTTGCCTGGTCCAGGAGCTTGCCTAGTCCAGGAGCTTGCCTGGTCCAAGAGCTTGCCTGGTCCAGGAGCTTGCCTGGTCCAAGAGCTTGTCTGGTCCAGGAGCTTGCCTGGTCCAGGAGCTTGCCTGGTCCAGGAGCGTGCCTGGTCCACGAGCTTGCCTGGTCCTGGAGCTTGCCTAGTTCACAAGCTTGCCTAGTCCAAGAGCTTGCCTGGTCCAAGAGCTTGCGTGGTTTAGGAGCTTGCCTGGTCCAGAAGCTTCCAAGGTCCAGGAGCGTGCCTAGTCCACGAGCTTGCCTAGTCTAGGAGCTTGCCTGGTCCAGGAGCTTGCCTGGTCCATGAGCTTGCCAGGTCTAGGAGCTTGCGTGGTCCAGGAGCTTGCCTGGTCTAGGAGCTTGCCTAGTCCAGGAGCTTGCCTGGTCCAGTAGCTTGCCTGGTCCAGGAGCGTGTCTGGTCCACGAGCTTGATGGTGTAGGAGCTTGCCTTGTCCAGGAGCTTGCCTGGTCCAAGAGCTTGCCTGGTCCGAGAGCTTGCGTGGTCCAGGAGCTTGCCTCGTCCAGGAGCTTCCCTAGTGTAGGAGCGTGCCTGGTCTAGGAGCTTGCCTGGTCCTGGATCTTGCCTGGTCCAGGAGCGTGCCTGGTCCACGAGTTTGCCTCGTCCAAGAGCTAGCCTGGTCCAGGAGCTTGCCTGGTCTAGGAGCTTGCCTGGTCCTTGAGAGTGCCTGGTCTAGGAGCTTGCCTGGTCCAGGAGCTTGCCTGGTCCAGGAGCTTGCCTGGTCAAGGAGCGTGCCTCGTCCACGAGCCTGCCTGGACCAAGAGCTTGCCTATTCCAAGAGCCTGCGTGGTCCACGAGCATGTCTGGTCCAGGAGCTTGCCTGGTCCAGGAGCGTGCCTGGTCCACGAGCCTGCCTGGCCCAGGAGCTTGCCTGGTCAAGGAGCTTGCCTGGTCCAGGAGCTTGCCTGGTCCAGGAGCTTGCCTGGTCCAGGAGCTTGCATGTTCCAGGAGCTTGCCTGGTCCAGGAGCTTGCCTGGTCAAGGAGCTTGCCTTGTCAAGGAGCGTGCCTGGTCGAGGAGTGTGCCTGGTCCAGGAGCTTGCTTGGTCCACAAGTATGCCTGGTCCAAGAGCTTGCCTCGACAAGGAGCTTGCCTTGTCCAAGAGTTTGCCTCGTCCAGGAGCTTGCCTAGTCCCAGAGCTTGCCTCGTCCAGGAGCTTGCTTGTTCCAGAAGCCTGCCTGGTCCAAGAGCTTGCCTTGTCCAGGAGCGTGCCTGGTCCAAGAGCTTGCGTGGTCCGGGAGCTTACCAGGTCCAGGAGCTTGCCGAGTCCAGGAGCGTGCCTGGTCCATGAGCCTGCTTGGTCCAGGACCTTGCCTGGTCCACGAGCTTGCCTGGTCCAGGAGCTTGCCTAGTCCAGGAGCTTGCCTGGTCCAAGAGCTTGCCTGGTCCAGGAGCTTGCCTGGTCCAAGAGCTTGTCTGGTCCAGGAGCTTGCCTGGTCCAGGAGCTTGCCTGGTCCAGGAGCGTGCCTGGTCCACGAGCTTGCCTGGTCCTGGAGCTTGCCTTGTTTACGAGCTTGCCTAGTCCAAGAGCTTGCCTGGTCCAAGAGCTTGCGTGGTTTAGGAGCTTGCCTGGTCCAGAAGCTTCCAAGGTCCAGGAGCGTGCCTAGTCCACGAGCTTGCCTAGTCTAGGAGCTTGCCTAGTCCAGGACCTTGCCTGGTCTAGGAGCTTGCCTGGTCCTGGACCTTGCCTTGTCCAGGAGCTTGCCTGATCCTGGAGCTTGCCGGGTCCAAGCTTGCCTGGTCCAGGAGCGTGCCTGGTCCAAGAGTTTGCGTGGTCGAGGAGCTTGCCTGGTCCAGGAGCTTGCCTGGTCTAGGAGCCTGCGTGGTCCAAGAGCGTGCCTTGTTCAGGAGCTTGCGTGGTCCAAGAGCTTGCCTGATCCAAGAGTGTGCTTGGTCCACGAGCCTGCCTGGTCCAAGAGCTTGCCTGGACCAAGAGTGTGCCTGGTCAACGAGCGTGCCTAGTCCAGGAGCTTGCCTTGTCCACGAGCTTGCCTGGTCCAGGGGCTTGCCCGGTCCAGGAGCTTGCCTGGTCCAGGAGCTTGCTTGGTCCAGAAGCGTGCCTGATCCAAGAGCTTGCCTAGTCCAGGAGCGTGCCTGGTCCACGAGCGTGCCTGGTCCAGGAGCTTGCGTGGTGGAGGAGCTTGCCTGGTCCAAGAGCTTGCCTGGTCCAAGAGCTTGCCTGGTCCACGAGCTTGCCTGGTCCACGAGCCTGGTCTAGGGTGATGGAAAGCGGGAGAATGGGGCAGGTTGATGGAAAGCGGGAGAATGGGGCAGGGTGATAGAAAGCGGGAGAAAGGGGCGAGGTGATGGAAAGTGGTAGAATGGGGCGGGGTGATGGAAAGCGGGAGAATGGGGCGGGGTAATGGAAAGAGGGAGAATGGGGACGGGTGATAGAAAGCGGGAGAATGGGGTGGGTTGATGGGAATCGGGAGAATGAGGCGGGGTGATGGAAAGCGGGAGAATGGGGCGGCTGATGGAAAGCTGGAGAATGGGGCGGGGTGATGGAAAGCGGGAATATGGGGTGGGGTGATGGAAAGCGGGAGAATGGGGTGGGGTGATGGAAAGCGGGAGAATGGGGCGGGGTGATGGAAAGCAGGAGAATGGGGCGGGTTATGGAAAGCTAGAGAATGGGGCGGGGTGATGGAAAGCGGTGGAATGGGGCGGGCTGATAGAAAGCGGGAAAATGGGGCGAGGTGATGGAAGGAGGGAGAATGGGGCGGGATGATGGAAGGAGGGAGAATGGGGCAGGGCGATGTAAGGAGGGAGAATGGGGCGGGCTGATGGAAAGTGGGAGAATGTGGCTGGGTGATGGAAAGTGGGAGAATGGGGCGGGGTGATGGAAAGCGGGAGAATGAGGCGGGGTGATGGAAGGAGGGAGAATGGGGCGGGATGATGGAAGGAGGGAGAATGGGGCAGGGCGATAGATGGAGGGAGAATGGGGCGGGATGATGGAAGGAGGGAGAATGGGGCAGGGCGATGGAAGGAGGGAGAATGGGGCGGGCTGATGGAAAGTGGGAGAATGTGGCTGGGTGATGGAAAGTGGGAGAATGGGGCGGGGTGATGGAAAGCGGGAGAATGAGGCGGGGTGATGGAAGGAGGGAGAATGGGGCGGGGTGATGGAAAGCGGGAGAATGGGGCGGGGTGATGGAAAGCGGGAGAATGGGCCGGGGTGATGGGAAGCGGGAGAATGGGGCAGGGTGATGGAAAGCGGGAGAATGGGGCAGGGTGATGGAAAGCGGGAGAATGGGGTGGAGTGATGGAAAGCGGGAGAATGGGGCGGGGTGATGGAAAGCGGGAGAATGGGGAGGGGTGATGGAAATCGGGAGAATGGGGCGGGGTGATGGAAACAGGGAGAATGGGGCGGGGTGATGGAAAGAGGGAGAATGGGGCGGGGTGATGGAAAGCGGGAGAATGGGGCGGGGTGATGGTAAGCGGGAGAACGGGGCGGGGTGATGGAAAGAGGGAGAATGGGGCGCGGTGATGGAAAGCGGGAGAATGTGGCGGGTTGATGGAAAGGGGGAGAATGGGTCGGGGTGATGGAAAGCGGGAGAACGGAGCAGGGTGATGGAAAGCGAGAGAACGGGGCGGGGTGATGGAAAGAGGGAGAATGGGGCGGGGTGATGGAAAGCGGGAGAATGGGGCCGGGTGATGGAAACCGGGAGAATGGGGCGGGGTGATGGAAAGCGGGAGAATGGGGCGGGGTGATGGAAAGCGGGAGAATGGGGCGGGGTGATGGAAAGCGGGAGAATAGGGCGGGATGATGGAAAGAGGGAGAATAGGGAGGGGTGATGGAAAGAGGGAGAATAGGGCGGGGTGATGGAAAGCGGGAGAATGGAGCGGGGTGATGGAAAGAGGGAGAATGGGACGGGGTGATGGAAAGCGGGAGAATGGGGCGGGGTGATGAAAAGCGGGAGAATGGGGCGGGGTGATGGAAAGCTAGAGAATGGGGCGGGTGATGGAATGAGGGAGAATGGGGCGGGGTGATGGAAAGCACGAGAATGGGGCGGGGTGATGGAAAGCGGGAAAATGGGGCGGGGTTCTGGAAAGCGGGAGAACTGGGCGGGCTGATGGAAAGCGAGAGAATGGGGCGGGGTGTTTGAAAGAGGGAGAATGGGGCGGGGTGATGGAAAGCGGGAGAATGGGGCGGGGTGATGGAAAGAGGGAGAATGGGGCGGGGTGATGGAAAGAGGGGAGGATGGGGTGGGGTGATGGAACGCAAAAGAATGGGGCGGGGTGATGGATAGCGGTAGAATGGGACGGGGTGATGGAAAGCGGGAGAATTGGGTGGGGTGATGGATAGAGGGAGAATGGGGAAGGGTGATGGAAAGAGGGAGAATGGGGCGGGGTGATGGAAAGCTGGAGAATGGGGCGGGGTGATGGAAAGCGGGAGAATGGGGCGGGGTGATGGAAAGCGGGAGAATGGGGCGGGGTGATGGAAAGAGGCGAAAGAATGGGGCGGGGTGAAGGAAAGCGGGAGAATGGGGCGGGTGATCGAAAGAGGGAGAATGGGGCGGGGTCATGGAAAGCGAGAGAATGGGTCGGGTTGATGGAAAGCGGGAGATTGGGGCGGGGTGATGGAAAGTTGGAGAATGGGGCGGGGTGATGGAAAGCGGGAGAATGGGGCGGAGTGATGGAAAGCGGGAGAATGGGGCGGGGTGATGGAAAGAGGCGAGAGAATGGGGCGGGGTGATGGAAATCGGGAGAATGGGGCGGGGTGATGGAAAGAGGGAGAATGGGGCGGGGTGATAGAAAGAGGTAGAGTGGGGCAGAGTGATGGAAAGCGAGAGAATGGGGCAGGGTGATGGAAACCGGGAGAATGGGGCGGGGTGATGGAAACCGGGAGAATGGGGCGGGGTGATGGAAAGCGGGAGAATGGGGCGGGGTGATGGAAATCGGGAGAATGGGGCGGGGTGATGGAAAGCGGGAGAATGGGGCGGGGTGATGGAAAGAGGGAGAATGGGGCGGGGTGATGGAAAGAGGGAGAATGGGGCGGGGTGATGGAAAGCAAGAGAATGGGGCGCGGTGATGGAATGCTGGAGAATGGGGCGGGGTGATGGAAAGTGGGAGAACGGGGCGGGGTGATGGGAAGCGGGAGAATGGGGGCGGGGTGATGGAAAGCGGGAGAATGGGGCGCGGTGATGGAAAGCGGGAGAATGGGGCGTGGTGATGGAAAGAGGCGGGAGAATGGGACGGGGTGATGGAAAGCAGGAGAATGGGGTGGGGAGATGGAAAGCGGGAGAATGGGTCGGGGTGATGGAAAGAGGGAGAATGGGGCGGGGTGATGGAAAGCGGGAGAATGGGGCGGGGTGATGGGAAGCAGGAGAATGGGGCGGGGTGATGGAAAGAGGGAGAATGGGGAGGGGTGATGGAAAGCGGGAGAATGGGGCGGGGTGATGGAAAGCGGGAGAATGGGGCGGGGTGATGCAAAGCGGGAGAATGGGGCGGGTTGATGGAAAGCGGGAGAATGGGGCGGGGTGATGGAAAGCGGGAGAATGGGGCGGGGTGATGGAAAGCGGGAGAATGGGGCGGGGTGATGGAAAGCGGGAGAATAGGGCGGGGTGATGGAAAGAGGGAGAATAGGGAGGGGTGATGGAAAGAGGGAGAATAGGGCGGGGTGATGGAAAGCGGGAGAATGGAGCGGGGTGATGGAAAGAGGGAGAATGGGACGGGGTGATGGAAAGCGGGAGAATGGGGCGGGGTGATGAAAAGCAGGAGAATGGGGCGGGGTGATGGAAAGCGAGAGAATGGGGCGGGGTGATGAAATGAGGGAGAATGGGGCGGGGTGATGGAAAGCAGGAGAATGGGGCGGGGTGATGGAAAGCGGGAAAATGGGGCGGGGTGATGGAAAGCGGGAGAACAGGGCGGGGTGATGGAAAGCGAGAGAATGGGGCGGGGTGATTGAAAGAGGGAGAATGGGGCGGGGGTGATGGAAAGCGGGAGAATGGGGCGAAGTGATGGAAAGAGGGAGAATGGGGTGGGGTGATAGAAATCGGGAGAATGGGGCGGGGTGATGGAAAGAGGGGAGGATGGGGTGGGGTGATGGAACGCAAAAGAATGGGGCGAGGTGATGGAAAGCGGGAGAATGGGACGGGGTGATGGAAAGCGGGAGAATTGGGTGGGGTGATGGATAGAGGGAAAATGGGGAAGGGTGATGGAAAGAGGGAGAATGGGGCGGGGTGATGGAAAGCTGGAGAATGGGGCGGGGTGATGGAAAGCGGGAGAATGGGGCGGGGTGATGGAAAGCGGGAGAATGGGGCGGGGTGATGGAAAGCGGGAGAATGGGGCGGGGTGATGGAAAGAGGGAGAATGGGGCGGGCTGATGCAAAGAGGGAGAATGGGGCGGGGTGATGGAAAGTGGGACAATGGGGAGGGATGATGGAATCGGGAGAATGGGGCGGGGTGATGGAAAGTGGGAGAATGGGGCGGGGTGATGGAAAGTTGGAGAATGGGGCGGGGTGATGGAAAGCGGGAGAATGGGGCGGGGTGATGGAAAGCGGGAGAATGCGGAGTGATGGAAAGCGGGAGAATGGGGCGGGGTGATGGAAAGAGGTGAGAGAATGGGGCGGGGTGATGGAAATCGGGAGAATGGGGCGGGGTGATGGAAAGAGGGAGAATGGGGCGGGGTGATAGAAAGAGGTAGAATGGGGCAGAGTGATGGAAAGCGAGAGAATGGGGCAGGGTGATGGAAACCGGGAGAATGGGGCGGGGTGATGGAAACCGGGAGAATGGGGCGGGGTGATGGAAAGCGGGAGAATGGGGCGGGGTGATGGAAAGCGGGAGAATGGGGCGGGGTGATGGAAAGCGGGAGAATGGGGCAGGGTGATGGAAAGAGGGAGAATGGGGCGGGGTGATGGAAAGAGGGAGAATGGGGCGGGGTGATGGAAAGCAGGAGAATGGGCGCGGGTGATGGAAAGCGGGAGAATGGGGCGGGGTGATGGAAAGTGGGAGAACGGGGCGGGGTGATGGGAAGCGGGAGAATGGGGCGGGGTGATGGAAAGCGGGAGAATGGGGCGCGGTGATGGAAAGCGGGAGAATGGGGCGGGGTGATGGAAAGAGGCGGGAGAATGGGACGGGGTGATGGAAAGCAGGAGAATGGGGTGGGGAGATGGAAAGCGGGAGAATGGGGCGGGGTGATGGAAAGAGGGAGAATGGGGCGGGGTGATGGAAAGCGGGAGAATGGGGCGGGGTGATGGAAAGCAGGAGAATGGGGCGGGGTGATGGAAAGAGGGAGAATGGGGAGGGGTGATGGAAAGCGGGAGAATGGGGCGGGGTGATGGAAAGCGGGAGAATGGGGCGGGGTGATGCAAAGCGGGAGAATGGGGCGGGGTGATGGAAAGCGGGAGAATGGGGCGGGATGATGGAAAGCGGAAGAATGGTGCGGGGTGATGGAAAGCGGGAGAATGGGGCGGGGTGATGGAAAGAGGGAGAATGGGGCGGGATGATGGAAAGCGGGAGAATGGGGCGGGGTGATGGAAAGCAGGAGAATGGAAAGGGGTGATGGAAAGCGGGAAAATGGGGCGGGGTGATAGAAAGCGGGAGAATGGGGCGGGGTGATGGAAAGAGGGAGAATGGGGCGGGGTGATGGAAAGCGGGAGAATGGGGCGGGGTGATGGAAAGAGGGAGAATGGGGAGGGGTGATGGAAAGAGGGAGAATTGGGCGGGGTAGTGGAAAGCGGGACAATGGAGCGGGGTGATGGAAAGCGGGAGAATTGTTGGTGCAACCTACGGTTTGCACTCGGCTTGTTGTCCGTGTGCGTGCATGCGTGTGTGCATGGAATGGTATGAGGGCATGGGATAATATATATTTCATGCTTACAATAGTGTGTGTATGATGGGTCATGATATTGAGTGTGTGTGTCAAGTCAATAGCGAGTTATCGCTAGTCGCGTGTAACGCGGTCATTTTGTGTGTCCCGCGCGGTTTCTATTTTGTCGTGCGCGGTTTCTATTTTGTCGCTTGTCGAACGTCGTGTGCAGCAGACCCATCAAGAACTCAAGGATGAGTTTGTGATGAAGAACCCGAGCCCTGGTGTCAACATTCAAGTGTTCGCGAAGTCCGCGAAAAGGGTACACCTCAAGATATCAAGATTCGTTACATTACAACGTGTAGTGTAACATTTCAGTTGGTGTAGACCCTAGTGAAGGGTAGTTTCGAGATCCTTCGTGGTTGGGGACAGTGTGGCACTGTTCCACATCACTGTACCTCGGCTCTTGGGGTTTGTAGGAGCTGGGAGTCATTCCCAACTCGTAACTCTTCCTAAGTTGCGTTCTAAGACTATGTTGCTGCCATAGTGCTGTGTCGTCAAATCTTGATGATAACGTGCGATCTAAATTGCTTATTGTAGGCGACGTTAGGGAGCTCCAGATCCAAGTTGAATGAAGTCATTTGGAGTTGTGAGCAGATCGCTATGAACGTTTAAAGCCGCTGTCCAGAAATCCGACTGTGCACTCTATCCTTAGTTTTAGGCACATTGAAGCCTACTGTGACTATAACAAGTGGTATCAGAGCCCCTTGGAGCAGCTACGACTATGACTGGACCTGGAGAAAGGGGTGGCAGAGGTGCTGGTGGCAATGGAGATGCCCAAGCACAAGGCCAAGCCCGTGATTCAGCCGTGGCGCCCGTGCAACCTACTCTTGGACCTTCTAGGGATGAACCAAGAGCGTTCGGGCTTGACAAGTTCAACGGCGACAACTTTGCTGAATGGTCCTTCAGAATGGAGAACGTGTTTGACCATTATGACCTGCTGGAGGTGATGGAAGGAACGGAGAAGCGTCCCGAGAACGACCCCGAGAAGAGCCTGTGGGTGCGGAAGAGCGCACAAGGCTATCTTCTACTTGGGCAAGCGTCGGGGAGCAACCAGATCCGTCACATCAAGCCTTTCCAGCATGAACCAGAGAAAGGACAAAAGGCATGGGCTGCTCTCAAGGGTGTACACGCTCCTGCAACAGCGGCGGTAGCTGTGGTGTTGGAACGGCAAATGGCGACGCCACGAATTGAGGAAGATGAACCCGTGGAAGACGGGGTGCAGAGATTCTTCGACTTGTTAACGCCGCTAGAGGGAGCTGATTTGAACTACAGTGAGCTCCAGAAGAAGACCAAGTTGCTGGCCTTACTCACCGAGTCGTGGTCCTCGCTCATCATCAATTTGAACCGTGACCTGCCCCGTCTCTCGCTTGAAGGCGTGAAGCGCGCGATCCTACAAGAGGACTTCCGCCGCCGTGAGTTGGCGAGTGCGGATGGCGCTGGGGCAGCTAGCGTCGGCCGTGGATATGGCCGAGGAAGAGGCAGAGGACGAGGGGGAGGAAGATCTGGTGGCGGCAACTTCAGTGGAGGCCGCGGGAACGGCAGTTACGGCAGCGACGACAAGAGCTACGGACGCGGTCGCGGTCGATTCGACGGCGAATGTCATTATTGCGGCAAGAGCGGACATATGTGGCGCGATTGCTTCAAACTCCCTGAAGGATGGACCCCTGCTCAAGGCCAAGAGGGTAAAGGAGCAGGAGGAGGGAGAGGAAGAGGCCGTGGAGGCCGTGGCGGTGCTGCAAATGTGAAGAGCGAAGATAACGACAAGGACCCGAGCGGCGATCGGTACCCGGGCCTATTCTACTTCGTGTCGACGCAAGTACCCGGCTGGTCCAGAGAAGGATGAAGACCTTGAGGAGCCAGCAGCTGTAGGGAAGGTGACCCTACACCCCCTGGACTATTGGGTGATCGACAGTGGCGCTACCTATAGCATGACACCTCGCCCGGACTTGCTCACCGAACTTGAACCGTCATCGGTGAAGCATGTCACATCGGCTTTGGGGCAGCGAGCAGAGGTAAAAGGCATGGGGAAGGCCATGTTCAAGGGTGCTGATGGGAAGATGGTGGGCCTCAAGAACGTGCTTTGGGTGCCCAGCCTTGCTGCGAACCTGATTTCCGTGCGGCGGTTGGCAAAGGCCGGCATGGACACTAACTCGAAGGGAGCCAAGACCTACACCGCAAGGCTTGGCGATCGGATTCTTTGGGACCTTCATGAGGACAGAGATGTCTACAACGAGATGTGGCAGATCCCTGTGGTCCCAATGCCTAAGGAGAGGCAAGTGGCAGCAAGCGTCAGCACTAAAGGTGGAGCGGTTGGTAGCGGCGATTGCGCGGACGGTCGCGCTAAGGAGAAGGAGTCCAAGAAGTGCAATCTTGGAGGGACCAGCAAGTTTAGTGAGCCTAAGGAGAGTGGTGCAGCAACCAAGGAGCAGCAAAAGGGTGAGGAGAACCCCGAGGCAACAGCGGAGGAGGACTACGGAGAGAGTATGTGGGGCGCTATTGCGAGCGCGGCATTTTCGAATCCAACTTCGGCTACGGGGGAGTGTGATTGGCTCACCTTGCATCGGCGCATGGGGCATGTGGCCCTGCCCATCTTGCAGCAGCTAGTGAAGAATGAGATGGTTGCTGGCATACGTGTGAAGGGGGAGCCCGATGAGGTACTTGGCTGCCCGACGTGCATGCAAGCCAAGTTCACCCGTTTCCCATTCTCTAGTTCGGAGGCAACGGCTAAGGCACCACTTGATGAGGTGGTGATGGACGTGGTGGGCCCCCTGAAGCTTGGAGCTGCTGGAGCTGAGTACTTCCTCACTATTGTGGACGTCTACACCCGTATGACTTGGGTGTACGTGCTGGCCAAGAAGAGCGACGTGGCTGAAACGTTGAAGGCGGATTGGTTCCCGATGGTGGAGCGGCAACAAGACCGTCTAGTCAAGTCAATCCGCACCGATCGAGGGGGAGAGTTCTTGAGCAAAGAGTTTGGGTTGTGGCTGAAGAAGAATGGTATTCGGCACTCCCTCACCATGCCATACTCCCCTGCAATGAACGGCATCGCTGAGCGAGCGAACCGCACAATCACGGAGGCTGCACGCGGGTTGCTCATTGAAGCCGGGCTACCCGACTATTTCTGGCCTGATGCGGTGCGGAGCGCATGTGTGGCCAAGAACAGAGCCTTGAATCATGTGGGAGCAGACAAATGGGTGCCCTATGTGGAGTGGCTAGGAAGGAAGCCAAAGGGATATGCTTCGGGTGTTCGGGTGCATGTGCATGGCGCTTGTGCCTAAGCATCTTCGGCACAACAAGCTTGGTGCCAAGGCGGTGTGGGCCGTGCACTTGTGCATGGCTCAAAACAGCAAGGGATGGCTTCTTTGGGACCCATTCACCAAGAAGTTCTTGGTGAGCAGGGACTGCAAGTTCATGGAGAACTTCATGTACAAGGATTGGAAGGCGGAGAATGAGGCGAAGATAGGCGTGCGGTTTGGGGAGGTGAAGAGTTCCGGTTTGGAGCATGTGGAGCTGCCTTTGGAGCTGAGCAGCAGCAGCACAACCACGAGGCAATCCTCCCTTGTGAATGGGGGAGAGGAGGCCACTGATGCAGAGGAAGAAGAGGAGGAGGTGCAGCAAGTGAGCGAACGTGCACCGTCACTCCCTTCCCGTACCACGAGTGCTCCACGGAATCGAGCCACACCGCAGCAACGCCAAGGCCTTCAAGTCCCTGCAGCTGAGGAGGAAGGAAGGGGGAAGAGGAGAATTCAACCCCCTAATAGGCTGACCTATGATGCACTTGGAAAGCAAGGCAAGACAGCCCTGGCCGGAGCGGCAATGATGGTCGGAGACGATGAGGAGAGAGACTACGAGGAGTGTGCCTTCGCGTTCTTCTCTCCGGTGGAGATGCCGGGAGAACCAGCAACTCTCAAGGAGGCTTTGGAGAGTAGTGATGCTGAGGAGTGGAAGAAGGCCATGGAGAGTGAGCTGAAGAGCATCGAGGAGAATGACACGTTTGAATTGGTGGAGCTACCGGAGGGGCGTACGGCGATAACGTCCAAGTGGCTCTTCAAAATCAAGTCGGATGCCGACGGCAAGATCGAGCGTTACAAGTCTAGGCTTGTAGCCAAGGGGTACCAGCAGAAGGAGAAGGTGGACTTCAAGGAGCTGTTTGCCCCTGTGGTGAAGCCGAGGACGCTGCGAACCCTATTCGCGGGAGCCGCCATCAAAGGATGGGTGGTGAAGCAAATGGACATTATGACGGCATTCCTCAACGGCATCCTTGAGGAGGAGATTTTTATGGCGCAGCCAGAGGGGTTTGATGATGGTAGTGGCAGAGTGTGGGAGGCTTCATATGCTGTGTTGGTGGAGGCCCAACTGCTTGGGAGAGCAAGAAGCAGGTTGACCAAGCTTTGAGCTCGGTGGAGTCCGAGTACATGGCACTCTTCCGTGCCGTACGGGAGATTGTGTGGCAGCGGCGTTTGTTGGCTGAATTGGGGGAGGAGCAGCAAGGACCTACCCCACTATATTGTGACAGCCAGGGTGCCATTGCTCTTGCTAAGAACCCTGTGTTGCATGGACTCACGAAGCACATGAGGGTGAAGTGGCATTGGAGGAGGAGCATGGTAACCGCGGGTGAAGTTGAGTTGCGCTACGTGAAGACCACGGGGCAGCCGGCTGACATGATGAAGAATGGGGCGGGGTGATGGAAAGCAGGGGAATGGGGCGGGGTGATGGAAAGCAGGAGAATGGGGCGGGGTGATGGAAAGAGGGAGAATGGGGCGGGGTGATGGAAAGCGGGAGAATGGGGTTGGGGTGATGGAAAGAGGGAGAATGGAGCGGGGTGATGGAAAGCGGGAGAATGGGGGGGGGTGACGGAAAGTGGGAGAATGGGGCGGGGTGACGGAAAGAGGGAGAATTGAAAGGGGTGATGGAAAGCGGGAGAATGTGGCGGGGTGATGGAAAGAGGGAGAATGGGGCGGGTTGATGGAAAGCGGGAGAATGGGGCGGGGTGATGGAAAGCGGGAGAATGGGGCGGAGTGATGGAAAGCGGGAGAATGGGGCGGGGTGATGGAAAGCGGGAGAATGGGGCGGGGTGATGGAAAGCGGGAGAACGGGGCGGGGTGTTGGAAAGCGGGAGAATGGGGCGTGGTGATGAAAAGCGGGAGGATGGGGCGGGGTGATGGAAAGCGGAAGAACGGGGCGGGATGATGGAAAGCGGGAGAATGGGGCGGGTTATAGAATGCGGGTGAATGGGGCGGGGTGATTGAAAGCGGGACAATGGGGCGGGTTGATGGAAAGCAGAAGAATGGGGCGAGGTGATGGAAAGCGGGAGAATGGGGCGGGGTGACGGAAAGCGGGAGAATGGGGCAGGGTGATGGAAGGAGGGAGAATGGGGCGGGGTGATGGAAAGCGGGAGAATGGGGCGTGGTGATGGAAAGCGGGAGAATGGGGCGGGGTGATGGAAAGCGGGAGAATGGGGCGGGGTGATGGAAAGCGGGAGAATGGGGCGGGGTGATGGAAGGAGGTAGAATGAGGCGGGGTGATGGAAGGAGAAGAATGGGGCGGGGTGATGGAAAGCGGGAGAATGGGGCGGGGTGATGGAAAGCGGGAGAATGGGGCGGAGTGATGGAAAGCGGGAGAATGGGGCGGGGTGATGGAAAGCGGGAGAATGGGGCGTGGTGATGGAAAGCGAGAGAATGGGGCGGGGTGATGGAAAGCGGGAGCATGGGACGGGGTGATGGAAAGCGGGAGAATGGGGCGGGGTGATGGAAAGAGGGAGAATGGGGCGCGATGATGGAAAGAGGGAGAATGGGGCGGGGTGATGGAACGCGGGAGAATGGGGCTGGATGATGGAAAGAGGGAGAATGGGGAGGGGTGATGGAAAGAGGGAGAATTGGGTGGGGTGTTGGAAAGGGGGAGAATGGAGCGGGGTGATGGAAAGCGGGAGAATGGGCGGGGTGATGGAAAGCGGGAGAATGGGACGGGGTGATGGAAAGAGTGAAAATGGGGCGGGGTGATGGATTGGGGGAGAATGGGGCGGGGTGATGGAAAAAGGGAGAATGGGGCGGGGTGATGGAAAGCGGGAGAATGGGACGGGGTGATGGAAAGAGTGAAAATGGGGAGGGGTGATGGATTGGGGGAAAATGGGGGGGGGTGATGGAAAGAGGGAGAATGGGTCGGGGTGATGGAAAGAGGGAAAATTGGGCGGGGTGATGGAAAGCGGGAGAATGGGACGGGGTGATGGAAAGCAGTAGAATGGGGCGCGGTGATGGAAAGCGGGAGAATGGTGCGGGGTGATGGAAAGCGGGAGAATGGTGCGGGGTGATGGAAAGAGGGAGGATGGGGCGAGGTGATGGAAAGAGGGAGAATGGGGCGGGGTGATGGAAAGAGGGAGAATGGGGAGGGGTGATGGAAAGAGGGCGAATGGGGCGGGGTGATGGAAAGAGGGAGAACGGAGAGGGGTGATGGAAAGCAGGAGAATGGGGCGGTGTGATGGAAAGCGGGAGAATGGGGCGGGGTGATGGAAAGCGAGAGAATGGGGCGGGGTGATGGAAAGCGGGAGAAAGGGGCGGGGTGATGGAAAGCGGGAGAATGGGGCGGGGTGATGGAAAGCGGGAGAATGGGGCGGGGTGATGGAAAGCGGGAGTATGGGGCGGGGTGATGGAAAGCGAGAGAATGAGGCGTGGTGATGGAAAGCGGGAGAATGGGGCGGGGTGATGGAAGGAGGGAGAATGGGGTGGGGTGATGGAAGGAGGGAGAATGGGGCGGGTGATGGAAGGAGGGAGAATGGGGCGGGGTGATGGAAAGTGGGAGAATATGGCAGGGTGATGGAAGCAGGAGAATGGGGCGGGGTTATGGAAAGCGGGAGAATGGGGCGGGGTGATGGAATGCGGGAGAATGGGGCGGGGTGATGGAAAGCGGGAGAATGGGGCGGGGTGATGGGAAGCGGGAGAATGGGGCGGGGTGATGGAAAGCAGGAGAATGGGGCGGGGTGATGGAAGGAGGGAGAATGAGGCGGGGTGATGGAAGGAGGGAGAATGGGGCGGGGTGATGGAAAGCGGGAGAATGGGGCGGGGTGATGGAAAGCGTGAGAATGGGGCGAGGTGATGGAAAGCGGGAGAATGGGGCGGGGTGATGGAAAGCGGGAGTGGGGTGGGGTGATGGAAAGCGTGAGAATGGGGCGGGGTGATGGAAAGCGGGTGAATTGGGCGGGGTGATGGAGAGCGTGAGAATGGGGCGAGGTGATGGAAAGCGGGAGAATGGGGCGGGGTGACGGAGAGGAGCGGAATGAGGCGGGGTGATGGAAAGCGGGTGAATGGGGCGGGGTGATGGAAAGCGTGAGAACGGGGCGGGGTGATGGAGAGCGGGAGAATGGGGCTGGGTGATGGAAAGCGGGAGAATGGGGCGGGCTGATGGAAAGCGGGAGAAAGGGGCGGGATGATGGAAGGAGGGAGAATGGGGCGGGGTGATGGAAGGAGGGAGAAGGGGGCGGGGTTATGGAAACCGGGAGAATGGGGCGGGGAGATGGAACGCAGGAGAATGGGGCGGGGTGATGGAAAGCGGGAGAATGGGGCAGGCTGATGGAAAGCGGGAGAAAGGGGCGGGGTGATGGAAGGAGGGAGAATGGGGCAGGGTGATGGAAGGAGGGAGAAGGGGGCGGGGTGATGGAAACCGGGAGAATGGGGCGGGGTGATGGAATGCGGGAGAATGGGGCGAGGTGATGGGAAGCGGGAGAATGGGGCGGGGTGATGGAATGCGGAAGAATGGGGTGGGGTGATGGAAAGCGGGAGAATGGGGCGGGGTGATGGAAGGAGGGAGAATGGGGCGGGGTGATCGAATGCGGGAGAATGGGGCGGGGTGATGGAAAGCGGGGGAATGGGGCGGGGTTATGGAAGGAGGGAGAATGGGGCGGGGTGATGGAAAGAGGGAGAATGGGGCGGGGTGATGGAAAGCCGGAGAATGGGACGGGGTGATGGAAAGAGTGAAAATGGGGAGGGGTGATGGATTGGGGGAGAATGGGGCGGGGTGATGGAAAGAAGGAGAATGGGTCGGGGTGATGGAAAGAGGGAAAATTGGGCGGGGTGATGGAAAGCGGGAGAATGGGACGGGGTGATGGAAAGCAGTAGAATGGGGCGCGGTGATGGAAAGCGGGAGAATGGTGCGGGGTGATGGAAAGCGGGAGAATGGTGCGGGGTGATGGAAAGAGGGAGGATGGGGCGAGGTGATGGAAAGAGGGAGAATGGGGCGGGGTGATGGAAAGAGGGAGAATGGGGAGGGGTGATGGAAAGAGGGCGAATGGGGCGGGGTGATGGAAAGAGGGAGAATGGAGAGGGGTGATGGAAAGCAGGAGAATGGGGCAGTGTGATGGAAAGCGGGAGAATGGGGCGGGGTGATGGAAAGCGAGAGAATGGGGCGGGGTGATGGAAAGCGGGAGAAAGGGGCGGGGTGATGGAAAGCGGGAGAATGGGGCGGGGTGATGGAAAGCGGGAGAATGGGGCGGGGTGATGGAAAGCGGGAGTATGGGGCGGGGTGATGGAAAGCGGGAGAATGAGGCGTGGTGATGGAAAGCGGGAGAATGGGGCGGGGTGATGGAAGGAGGGAGAATGGGGTGGGGTGATGGAAGGAGGGAGAATGGGGCGGGTGATGGAAGGAGGGAGAATGGGGCGGGGTGATGGAAAGTTGGAGAATGGGGCGGGGTGATGGAAAGCGGGAGAATGGGGCGGGGTGATGGAAAGAGGGAGAATAGGGAGGGGTGATGGAAAGCGAGAGAATGGGGCGAGGTGATGGAAACAGGAAGAATGGGGCGGGGTGATGGAAAGAGGGAGAATGGGGCGAGGTGATGGAAACAGGGAGAATGGGGTTGGGTGACGGAAAGAGGGAGAATGGGATGGGTTGATGGAAAGAAGGAGAATGGGGCGGGGAGATGGAAAGAGGGAGAATGGAGAGGGGTGATGGAAAGCGGGAGAGTTGGGCGCGGTGATGGAAAGCGGGAGAATGGAGCGGGGTGATGGAAAGCAGGAGAATGGGGCGGGGTGATGGAAAGAGGGAGAATGGGCCGGGGTGATGGAAAGCAGGAGAATGGGGCGGGGAAATGGAAAGAGGGAGAATGGGGCAGGGTGATGGAAAGAGGGAGAATGGGGCGGGGTGATGGAAAGCAGAAGAATGGGGCGGGGTGATGGAAAGAGGGAGAATGGGAAGGGGTGATAGAAAGAGGGAGAATTGGGCGGGGTGATGGAAAGCGGGACAATGGAGCCGGGTGATGGAAAGCGGGAGAATGGGGCGGAGTGATGGAAAGCGGGAGAACAGGGCGGAGTGATGGAAAGCGGGAGAATGGGGCGGGTGATGGAAAGAGGTTAAATGGCGCGGGGTGATGGAAAGCGGGAGAATGGGGCGGGGTGATGGAAAGAGGGAGAATGGGGCGGGGTGATGGAAAGAGGGAGAATGGGGCGGGGTGATGGAAAGCGGGAGAATGGGTCGGGGTGATGGAAAGAGGGAGAATGGGGCGGGGTGATGGAAAGAGGGAGAATGGGGCGGGGTGACAGAAAGCTGGAGAATGGGGCGGGGTGATGGAAAGAGGGAGAATGGGGCGGGGTGATGGAAAGAGGGAGAATGGGACAGGGTAATTGAAAGCGGGAGAATGGGGCGGGGTGATGAAAAGCGGGAGAATGGGGCGGGGTGATGGAAAAAGGGATAATGGGGAGGGGTGATGGAAGACGGGAGAATGGGGCGGGGTGATGGAAAGCAGGAGAATGGGGCGGGGTGATGGAAAGAGGGAGAATGGGAAGGGGTGATAGAAAGAGGGAGAATTGGGCGGGGTGATGGAAAGCGGGAAAATGGAGACGGGTGATGGAAAGCGGGAGAATGGGGCGGAGTGATGGAAAGCGGGAGAATGGGGCGGAGTGATGGAAAGCGGGAGAATGGGGCGGGTGATGGAAAGAGGTTAAATGGCGCGGGGTGATGGAAAGCGGGAGAATGGGGCGGGGTGATGGAAAGAGGGAGAATGGGGCGGGGTGATGGAAAGAGGGAGAATGGGGCGGGGTGATGGAAAGCGGGAGAATGGGTCGGGGTGATGGAAAGAGGGAGAATGGGGCGGGGTGATGGAAAGAGGGAGAATGGGGCGGGGTGACGGAAAGCTGGAGAATGGGGCGCGGTGATGGAAAGAGGGAGAATGGGGCGGGGTGATGGAAAGAGGGAGAATGGGACGGGGAGATGGAAAGAGGGAGAATGGGGCGGGGTGATGGAAAGCGGGAGAATGGGGCGGGGTGATGGAAAGAGGGAGAACGGGGCGGGGTGATGGAAAGCGGGAGAATGGGGCGGGGTGATGGAAAGCGGGAGAATGGGGCGGTGTGGTGGAAAGCGGGAGAATGGGGCGGGGTGATGGAAAGAGGGAGAATGGGGCGGGGTGATGGAAAGCGGGAGAATGGGGCGGGGTGATGGAAAGAGGGAGAATGGGGCGGGGTGATGGAAAGAGGGAGAATGGGGCGGGGTGATGGAAAGCGGGAGAATGGGTCAGGGTGATGGAAAGAGGGAGAATGGGGCGGGGTGATGGAAGACGGGAGAATGGGGTGGGGTGATGGAAGGCGGGAGAATTGGGCAGGGTGATGGAAAGATGGAGAATGGGGCGGGGTGATGGAAGGCGGGAGAGTGGGGCGGGGTGATGTAAAGATGGAGAATGGGGCGGGGTGATGGAAAGTGGAGAATGGGGCAGGGTGGTGGAAAGAGGGAGAATGGGCGGGTGATGGAAAGAGGGAGAATGGGCGGGGGGAGATGGAAAGAGGAAGAATGGGGCGGGGTGATGGAAAGCGGGAGAATTGGGCGGGGTGA